GGTATTCTATGATTCTACGACTTAATTCACCTCCCCAGCCCCAAGCTCTGCCCTTCTGTCTTGGTACAAGGGTTACATTATCAAGACGTACAGCAAGCTTTCTGTATCCGGCAGTGTCTTAGCGTTTCTCTTCCACTCCCATAGCTATGAAGCTGACTGAATGCAAGGTAGAAATAATTAGGATGACAGGCATCTTGACTATAAACATTTCAGCCCTGCCTGGATCATGCTAGGCAGCTGTAAATTTAACTTTTACTCACCTTTCACCACTTACCAACAGAACATTGGAGGGTAAGTTTATTTCTCGCCAAATTTTCTGGAGTGAATAGAACGAACGTAGAGAAGAGCATCATGCAGACTTATAACAAAACCCCAGCCAGATCCCCTGCAAACCACACACCGTACTGAGCGTGCAAGACTAGCCCCAGCAGTAGGAAGTAGAAGGCAGTTTTCTCTTAAATGGCAAAAACTATGAATTGTTTCTGGTTACTGTTTTAGGAATTTAGTTACAGAATGCATAGAAATGTACGTATCAGCTGTGGACAATATGAACAGTAATTACTCGCTACCAAGGTTGGGGTTTTTGGTTTTTCTGTTTGTTTTAAAAAAAAATGAAACCAAACAGTTGTAACCAAGACCTAAGGAGCAGGTGGTATATCCTTGAATTTGCGTAGTGAGTCTGTAAGTCACATCTACATGAAAACGCGAACAATTGCACATATCTTTTGTAAAATAGAAATTGTTTATCCTTGATCTTCTGGTTTATTTGTGTGATTTCTCAGGGTTTAAAATGCCACTCCCTTTTTAAAGTTAATATATGACAGCATCAGGTGAATATACAAAGATCAACACCTCATATAATTTTTTACTTTGGAACTAAATAAGAACTACTTGCTTGCTTGGAAGCCAAGAGATGGTATATTACCTTTGAAATGGAGACTTTTTTAATGAATTCTGTAATTTTTTTAAGGAAGAAAACAACAGAAGTTATCAAAAAATTAACTTACAGTATGTACGCAGACCTTTTAAAAATCATATTCTAGTTATGTTCTGGCAATTTTTCTTCTTGCTTTGAAAAGTAGGAATTAATATAATCGGTATATAGAAATGTTTTGAAAAGTCAACTAGCAGGGATAAAAAAACCCAACAGTTTAAATTATAACTATTAAATTATAACTATTAAAAATGTAAATGTTTAAGTCAGATGCCCAAATTTTATGATGTCTTTCAATTTTTTTGTTTTAGAACGTCATTAAGATGTAGAACACTTCACAAATCTTTTTGTGAATGAAATTTTTATTTACACACTGTATCCAGAAGCAGATACATAAATCCTTATACAATTATTTTTCAAAAATGTGCAAGAAATTACTATAATTTTGTTTACAAACCAAAACACATTAAAATCAATGGACTTTGGATAATTCACTCTGTGGCGTGCTTAGTACAAATAGTGCACACCAGGTCTGAAACAGAGAAAAGTGTAAACTACAGCAATCTGGATTGCAAGTATTAACTTCATGGCACTCCATCATCACTATAAAAATTCTTTAACCCAACATGTATTGATACAAAATTCTTTAAGATTTTTTCATTACCTGTGTAGAATTTAGGACACTCTCCAGATACAACAATGCTGTATTTCCCTTATTATGAACTACCATCTAGCCCATTTTTTATTTATAAAGAATTCTTGCAATTTTTATTCTTTGCAGTCGTAAAAAGATTTTAAGAAATGAAATTGGCAATCATCATTTTATCCATAGCTTAGCTCAGAATTTGGAAGTTCAGTAACAGAGAAATACTTCTCATCAGAATCATAGCCCATATATTGCTGGTATGGTGTTTTAAATTTATAATTCCAGTATTCACATAGATGAAATGCATCAAAACAAAAACTGCACAGATTTCACTTAGCCCAGCAGTCAATATTCACAGAAATAAATTGGCTTTAACAAAATGTAAAGTCAGCTCATCTGAGAACAAAGAGTTTAATTAATAATTGCATTTCTGATCCTTCTGACAGAAAAACATTTTGATAAAAAGATGGCATTCACTGTCAACAGCAGGATAAGTGCTATATCCTTCAAATAGATCAAAGAATACAAATCACTTTCAGTTGTTTATAACACTGGCTTACAAAAAAAAAAAAAACACAGAGGAAATTGTGCAAATTTATTTTTCCATTTCCAAATACAAGGTGTTGTTTTACTCCAATTGGTAAAACAATGTTATCAATAACGTCAATTATTTCAGATGCTCAAAAAAAGGAGTTTTATTTCAAAGTCTCATTTTCAAAAACATTTTTCCACAATTCAATTGCATAAAAAGCATGCCTTTTGAACCCTTAAACTGTTGTGCTGAATAAATAGCCATATTTCTACTCTATAAGGATCATAGTCAGTTAGCTTCTATTCCTAGTGTTATCTACTTCCAAAGATCCCCAAACTATCCTCAGTCATTTTCCTTTTATATGTCAAGGACACTTTGTTCCTCTAATTTTCATGAAGCAGAAGTCAACACAATTTTCGTGGTTACTCCAAGTACTTCTAAATTGTCTCATAATTAAATATTACTGTTTCTTTAATATTAATCTTTATTATAAGAAATTGTAAGTATCTTTAATGTTTTCAAAGTCATTTTTCTGGGTTCCTTCTGCTGGCTGGCCAGTTACCTCAGCACGAAAAAATACTGTGAGGTTCTGATTAATGAAACGTAAAAATAAGTATTTGTGTCTACTTACTACTGATTTAAAGTATTTTGAGCTTAGTAGAAATATCACCACCATTTTTTACTTAGAATCAAAGTGCTATATGGTTCTCACATCCTAGGCCTCAACCACTTTACAGTGTTCCTCTTGTGGAAGCTTTACGGAGGCGGGGGCAGGAACGACAAAGTTAACTTGACCTGATTAAGTTTGCAGATGAAGAACACAGCAAGGAAGGCAATTCAAAAACTGGATAGCTGAACCAAAGTTTAAAAAAAAAAAAAAAGCATCAACACATATGAATGAACAAACTGAAATTTATAAAGGCATGGGCAAGAAATTTAGCATGTGTGTTCTTGCACGTTTTTCAATTCAGCAATAAGACCAGGATATTATAGCTTCAACTATTTAAGTTTCAATGCAATGACTGCTAAATTAACGCATGTGGCCTAGCACAAACATATATTTAATGCATTCAATAGTGGTATTAAATGGCAAAGAAAATACTTAGTAAACTATAATCTTTCAAAGATTCTGTAGAATGTATAGGCCCTCTAGCTTGTATGGGGAAAGAATTTTTAAAGTGAAGAAAATGCCAGAGGTTTTCTTCCAAAAGCATGCGTCTGAAATCCATAAAAATGATTTTCTTTTTCCTCCCCACAGACGGAATCAGAACACTGTACCATACAATAGGTTATTGTGCCTTTTTGAATAAAGTTAGTGATCCTGATTCAGGGGAGGGGGGGAAGTCAGTAGAGGAAAAAAAGAAAACAGAATTCACACTTGCATACATATATCTCAATGGCAGAGCCAACAAAGTACGCATATAGACTGCTCTGGATTTTTTTTTTAAGTTTAAAACTTTCTCACACTAAAGAAGAAATCCCTACTCTCCCTCCCTTAGAAGCAAAGGCAGCTTTTATCTACCTTTGATTTTCTTTTTTTTTTATTTTAGTTAAACATTATGGTCAAAAAATAAATTAAAAAAATATAAATTTAGTCTATCAATTCAGGCAACCCAAGATGTAGTGCTATTGCACCACCTTGCAGCAATACTGTATTCATTACCAAAGACTCATTTCAGGGGACAAAGGGCTAGATTAAACAAGGCGAAGAAAATGACCTAAACAAGAAAGCTGTATCAAAGATGAACAGCCTTTTCTAAGCTGATGTTTACCGACTAGCAACTCCTATTAGAGATGGGGAAAATGACATTCTAAAATACAAAACAGGGGGGCAGAGGCAGGCAAAGCAAGCCTCCCTTCCAAGCCACCCGTGACCCCTTTAACAAGTAACTCATAAAAGTGATAGAACTATGGGGGAAAAAAAACCTGAAACAAAACAGGAAAATGCCATGGATTAACCTTGCATGACGGAAATACTACAGTGTAGAACCTGTACTCCCCACTGAAAGTCTTTACAGAAGGTTAGAATAACTGTAAGCTTTTCAAATGCCAGAATCTTTGACAGATATCATAAACATTTACTTAATTGATTCAATATTTCATATGTCAAAACATATTTCATGACAGTAAACTGAAACATTTTCTGCAGTCAATGTATACCCAAACCTCTTTCCCCCGTAATTTCAAAGGCTATGAGAACAAAGCTTTAGAGATGCATTTTAAGTATCCTCCATCCAAGATGTTATCAGTCCTGTTCCTTCCTCCCCAAAGGATATCCAAAAAAAGGGGAAAACGATCCAAAGGACATTAGTGTATTACTGCATTTCTGAAGTGAAAAAAATGCAGAAAACTATAAAATTTCAAGTAGTTTGAACATATATTGTAGAAATCATCCTATCACAAGTTTTACTCCATCCCTAAAATGGCTTATCAATTTATGTTCCCATAATAACAATTCCTAGAGTCTTCCTACAAATCCAGGAAATTCCCCTCCCCGCCCCCCAAGTGGAGGTAGGAGGGAAGAGGACAGAAAGAGGGGACCCGGTAGGTGTTCATTTATTTAACTGATGGCATGATTTTAAAAAGTAATATTTGACAAGGCCCCAGTACCACAATTTCCTTATAGGTACTACACATCAACTTTCAGAGACTTCTTTTTTTTAAAGGCCATTTTTAGAAGGACAAAATACTGAGACAAGAAGAAAACTGAACCAACCTTCTCAAACATGAAATAGTGTACAGACAATACAAGGCTTAGGAGAAAGGTGTTTTTTTCCCAAAGATATGCTGCATAACCATGTTCTTATCACACAGCTCTGTTTATAAGTTCTACATTAGGGCATATCTCTATAGAAATTTATAATTAAGATACTAGGAAATTGTTTTTAACATAGATGTAAATTCTGTGATTTGGAATACCAATATTTTTTTTTATCCACAATCATTTTTTTTTCAAACAGGCTATTTCAAAGGAAAAAAAATATCCCATTCAACAAGTTTCATTTGACTTTTACTTATGGTTGAATACACATGAAATGTGCTTTCAATGCATAAAAATCACAGTGGATAGCAGCAAAGGACTTGGGGGAAATTAAGGAGAATTTGATCATTCACATTGTGATTAATCTGCACATTGATGAAAGATAGCTATTTCACACTTCTAAAAATAAACTTGAGATCATTCTTTCAAAAAAAAAAAAAAAAAGCCCCCCAAAATACACAACCCCCCCCAAAACAAACATAAATCCAAATGCATTACTTTTCTTTTACACACAAAAATGAAGTATTTTTATGGCAGCAAAAGATTTTGATAATAATGAAAGTCTGTAAACTGTAATTCAATCTCTTTTTTTGTTGTTGTTCCCAAAGTGCAAGATGCAAGATTCCCATAAGCTTTCAGTAGTGCTTTTCCTGTAAATAATCCTTCATTTTGTTTGGCAAAGGCAGTTTCTGAATCAGGTCTATTCTGGTGTACTGACGTATTACAAAACGACACAGGTATTGTAAAGAACGCACCTGCATAAACCGAGATACTGGATTTGTCAGTCTCACTGGGTAAGTTGCAGATCCAGGCAGTCGGGATCTCGAATAGCAGAAAGCTCCATTTTCAGAGTCCCTGATTGAATGTTCAATTAAGTCAACTATAGATGTATGCCCCTCCACATCTGGTTGTTCATAAAAGCTAAACCTACCATTTGAGTGTTCAATTCTAGTGTGAAGAGTTTTTCCATGGGAACGAAAACTCAAACTTAAAAGATAACGATCATCAGAACTATCTCGAACAAGAAACGAGCCATCAGGCACATTAGCTAATTTTCCCTCTGCCTCCCAACGTGTAATGGGGCCCCAGTACCATCCTTGTTTTGCAAGTTTTTTCAGTTCTTCTGTGAGACTTGTCACAACCATAGGGCCACTGTTCTGTACAGAATCATAAACTCTTCCAACTCCAGGGGCAGTGTTAGGATCAAAATTCAAATGGCAGCGCATACTTTCAGCCACGTGGGCATCTGTGCCATTCAATCCATTGAAGTTCCTTTGGATTTGATTATTCTGCATTGGAGGTAGCAAAGGTGAGAGTGGAGGGACATCGCTGTGATTAACTCTTGGGCTTTGTAACATGACTCCTGTGGTACCAATCAACAAACCATTCACTGTCTGGTCCACAAAGATATCCGGTGCAACGACTACATCCTGATCCACTTGGCTCTCTTCTTCATGGAAAGCATTTCCCCCCACTTGAGAAGAAACAGTTGAAACTTCCATGGGTGAGGAACTATCCAGACAGTAACTACGTGATCCTTCCAAAGGATACATTCCCTCATCTAAAGGCACAGTATACTGAATGTAGTCCTGAGGCATTAATCCAATAACTACAGGCACATGTTCATCAATATGAAGATGCAAGTCCCCGTTCTGAGACTCTGTATTTTTTAATGCATTGTTTTGTTCCTGGAACACGTTGTCTGACTGCAAGTCATGGAAGTCCTTTCGAACGCCATTCAGTGCTGGGCTTGGATTAGAGGAATGGACCAAGGCCTTGACTTTCACTTCCATTTTGATGCAAGTCTCTTCTGAATTTGTAGGTCGAAGGGGCCATGGAGTTGGACTGTAATGGTGATTACGGAGGGAAGTGGATCTCAGAGGTCTTTGAGCTCGCACATCTTTGAAGGTTATTGGAGCAGATGAAGAAGAAAAGGTGTCATCATCTGCAGAGCTTACAGATGGTGTGCTGCCTTTGCCTTTCTGTTTTTGTTTTGCTGAAAGCCTCCTTTTTAACGTACCCATTAAGCTTTCACTTTTTGATCTATTTTTGCCTCCTTTTTCATCTTCACTATTGACTTCACAGCTAGCCAAATCTTTACCATAGCAGCTGCCAAACAAGGAGTCATCTTTTCCAAATTCTTGAACCACTACAAAGTCGCTTTCATCTTTACTTTTATTTAAATTAAAGGACTTGCGAATTGTTTTGAGACTAATTTTCTTCATTATGACAAGTTACCACGTCTGGCTGATCAGCAGTGCTTGTGGTGATATAGCCCTAACACATGCAGAGCAGCTTCTGCTTCATTTATGTGTTTTACCCAGCCTCATTTAACTTCAAGAGCCATTTCCTGGAAACAAATAAAAAACAATTAACTTCACAAAAGAAATATTTTAAAAATTATCCATAAGGGTTTTCCTCTCTCCAAACAAAACAGAAATTGCCGTTCTTAAGTAATGGGCATTAAATAAAAGTAAATATAGAGATCTGATTTGGAAACCAATCAGGATCAAAAAATGAATCTGCTACATCTGCCTTGGAGATTTCCACAACTTTTTTCTGCTTTTAGCATGCTATTTTTTAAATATACACACATGTTACATCACACTCATAGGCATATATATTTAATGCACATATATAAAATTTTCAAGCACAGAAACATCCCTCTCTTTCAGAAGGCTCCTAGAAAAATCCCGACAAAAAATAACTATAGAAGATAAAACTATAGAAGATATCCTATCCGACAGAATTCCTACATACCAGTTAAACTGTGATTAGACCTAAAAACATGGTCTTACAAGGTCATACTTTCTTTACAAGGAAAGTTGAGCAATATTCAAATAGTTACATTATTACAGGAAAACTAACTCCAGTCAAAAAATAGAGAGAAATTAACAGCAAAGTAACATCTGTCTAGAGCAAAGCATAGAAGTCCTCTCCTGAACTTCTATGAAAGAAAACTGATTTCCAAACTGTGTTTTAGGTATAGAGGACGTCACATCACAGGCTGTCCTTGCCTAGTACTATTAGAGCTTTTCTTCCTCCAGTACTTCTGCCAAGACTAAGTGGACACATCTGCTCAAGTCCCAGTGAACTCCTCCCACCTGGCATCTTCCAGAGTCATATACCCACCCCCTCCATAAATTTGACTTTTCAGCTTGTTTTTTTTTGTTTGGGATTTGTTTTTTTGAGTTTGTTTTTTGGGTTTTTGGGGGTTTGTTTGTTTGTTTTTAATTTTTAATGTCAGTTAGACCTTCCAAAGCAAGCAGCTCTGCAGAGAGGGGAAGAACAAGAAGGGCAAGAGAACAGAGGGAAGTTGCTGCTGCCACAGAAGTAGGTACTACAATTAGTACTAGCCATTTTTCTACGTACCTCCAAATACATGTTATGTTAGCAGCACAAACTGCAGCAGCAAGCCTGGCTCCAGGCTAAGCATGGCAAGCTGGAGGAGTCTAGGAATCTTTCAAGAAATTCTTGAAAGAGGGGAAAATAAAACAGGCCTTATGTACGCCCTTCCCACTTTTTTCCCATGGTAGCACAATGCAAGCAACTGAGAAAAATAGTACAATGAACTGAAATAAGTTTTATCAAGTAAACAATACGATTTTCTTAAATAATCATTCAAAAATTGCATAAAAGCATGTAAGGAGAGTGATTACTATAATCAAAGAGCAGTCCATTGACTATTACTCTTGTCCAGCCCAACTTTTGTGGTCCTCAAGTACACAAAGGCTGAAGAATCTTATCCAAAGCAAACTAAAAGACAATGCAAGGCATCTAAGGATTCTGAACTTCAAAATACCTTGAAAAATTTTAAGTAAAGCCATGCTGCTGGGGGGTTGAACACTGTTCTCAAACAGCAGAAGCACTAAAGCTTGATTTACTCGGATTTGTACCCTAGTCCTATCTTCAAATTCCCTGCAATATCTGCATCACCATACCTAGAAGACCTGTTCTGTCTTTGCCAAAACCTCTGACATTTCCCAAGTCCATCTTTAGAGTATCTTCAGCTCTTTTTCTTAACTACCAAACTAAACAGCACTTTCCTTTCCTTTCTCTCAATGGGGAGAAGCTAAAAGGTTTCTCTTCTGCCTGTAAACTGATTTACTTGCCATCAGCAACGAACAAACACGCCCAAAAAAATTGTTTCCTAAACAAACAAACAAACGATTAAGAACCAACTCGTTATAAATTACTATTAAGACCTTAAAAAAACAGGACCCGTATTTTATTAGAAGTCCACTGCTTACTTTTCATTTTTAACATGACTCCTTTGGTACCTGGAGTCCTGATACCTTAAAAACCACATTCCATTTACACAATCTGAAGATGATACCGAGATACGTGTATGTATTTTCAAAAGTTAGGACACTACTTTTACTTTCCTTATGATAGATACGTGCAGAACCGTAAAATTGCATGTTTTAAAATACTGATATTTAATATGAGCTCCATATGTTTGGATAATTGGGAAATATGGAAGTACTGAAAACCAAACATGAGGAGAATATATTTAGTGGGTTTTATATGCCTGAAATCTGGTGTATCAGAATAACTGACAAAGTACAGTAATTAAGAAAAAGCTAGATACAGATAAAGGGAGAGTTACATGTAAATTAAAAGTAGACTCAAAATGCCTTGTTGACCTTTCTATTCCTAAACCATTTGGATTTTGCCATCTTACCAATTTACACTACTCTTTTTATCATATGTAACTAAATGAACCTACAAAATGAGTGAAAAATATAACTTCAGGATTCTATGCTGCTCCTAAACTGACAAAGTCAGAGTGGCTGTTCATTTGATGAATTTAACTGTGCCTTTGTGTATGTAGTACCAGAAGCCTGGGAACCCTCACGTTAGCCCCGCTTGTGAAACCCACAGTACTCTCTCCCCAGCTGCTTCTGACTGACATCCACAAGATGATACTATTTCCACTTTACCAGATACATTTCCCCACCCTTGTAGGAAGTACATCATACTGTATGCAATTCCTAACCCTAAAAAAGCAAGCATGAAAATAACATCTGCCTTCTAAGCTAGGGAGAAAAAGAAAAGAACATTATCACATTGCTGATTGGGGAGAAAACATGTATAGAGCCCCAAACTGTCTGGTTCACCATTTTTTTTTTAATTGGTGTGTTTCAAAAGAATTAGTTACCTAAAATTTGACTCAAGGAACTATGTTTCTTCAGCTTCTCCATAACTAAAAGACTACGCAAGTCACTCGAAAGAACAGGTTTTTATCACATGCTAGTCTTTCTGTATCAAAATGTGGGTTTTTATAACAAATGAAGATCCACAACCTAAAAATAATCTCAACAGATAAATCTCTATGGCAGCATATAGAGGAATCAAAGTTTTGTACTTTCAGAGTGACTACTGAGCCCACTTGAGCAAAAAAGTGTTTTACATCTGTCAGCCTACCTTACTAGCCAATATCTTTATCAAGCAAAATGCATGATTGTCCAAATGCACAACTCATTACTTCTATCATTGTAACATTTCATATAAAGAAATAATAAAGGTTTGAATTTCAAATATAAACCACATAAACAACATGCATATATCCAGAAATCCAGCTCATTCATCCAGGAAAAGATGATAAAATCTAGTGAATGACAGTCTGGGTCAAAGCTCTCTGATGTAAACTGAACACACCCACAGATGAGAGCAAGCCTCTAAACAAGTCTTTCATATGAGAATCGCTCTACTTTATAACATCTCTTACACATATTTTATCCAAGAAGTGAGAAAACAAATACACCCTGAAGTCAAATACCCTAATTGATACAGATACTCTCCTTTCTTCGCACATACTTAAAAAATACCAGTAATTCTGCACTGCATATTAATGTGTTTAAAAGTGCTGTATAAACAACCCTCAATATAAGATACACTCATACACTTGCAAGTGTAGAATTTTCAACTGCCTACATCTAGAAGAGCTGAAACATGCACCCCTTCCTGGAATACATTAAAATGAGCTACTCAACTTCTTCACAACCCTCAGCACCGCAACAGCTTCGCTAGTATTCTGTACGAATTATGGCATCACTTAAGTCTCCCACTGATGTGCTCTTCCAGTGCCATCTGCTGTACAGTGCATTTAGACAGCCTAACTAGCGACACCTCTAGAAATTCTCTGGCAGGTACCTGCGACTATAAACAGACTCTGAACTATGCCAATGTACTCCCAAAGCCTGGTGGCTACGTACGCAGAAATACCTGGAACACACAGATTGGAAATGGATTAATCAGACCCAGAAAGAGAATGAGATGTTAACACACGGAATAAAGAGTCAGAATGAAATTCTGACTTACGAACTTTCATCACAAATTCTGCATCTTGGAATCTTTAAGATTATGCAGGTTGACAAAACACAGGCCTCCTGACAAAAATTACCTGGACTACCAGATTACTACCCAGAAAACACCATGGTCCCCTTTGTGTTTACAAAAAACAATCAAAACTAAATTTGCACACCTCATTTTGAAGTGAAGAACAACATGTATCAATCACATACAAATGTGAAATTATTAGTGAAGAGGTTTAAAGCTAAAATTTTGCTCTACAGACTGCTGCTCAGAAATCTGAAGAGCAGGTCATGCAATCATATATTAATTGTTATTATGGTGGCCAGTACCAATTTATGAAAAACTATGAAAGCTTAAAAAAGAAGCTTGTGCAAATCTAGTTTGAATATTCAACACTTCAGAGTAGTTTCAATTTGATGCTGCAAAATGGTTTCAATGGACTATAATCACATAGCTATCTCAATGCAGTGTTTGCAAAAGTACACCAACAAAAAGTTTGATTATTTGTATTTAAATGGCCTTTATTAGTTTCTTATCTTTTTCACACTTTTAGGTTAGGTGCACTCATTTCCAGAGACAAATACTATAAACAATGTTGCCAGAATACACTACTAGAGAAATAAAACAGCATTAACTTTTAAGAGTTGGGACAGAAACTATCATACTGGAAACACAGAGCAAAATACAACTCATGGTTGAACAAAGAATTGGGTTTTAAAAATTTTTAATAAAAATACCATCACAAAAATGGCTTGGAACTATTAATCAATGCTGCTTCAGATAACATAGACTTTCCTAAAATAAATGTTAATCTGCTAATTTACTACCACAAAGTGAAACAGTAAAGCATTAAACTTTTTTTTTTGAACCCACAGATGCATTTTTCCTGAGAAGTCTGGCTATCCATTAGAAATATATAATCTTTATTCTTATACTGAATCATAGTAAGACTTAAATCATTTACAAATGCAAGTTAAGCAGAACTTTGGCACAACTGTGCATGGAGCTAAACTGAAGAGAATATTGTAGACAGCTGAGGAACAATCGTGAAAAATATATATCTGGAGATTTAGAAGTTCCAACATGACAAAAAGAAAAAGCTTTTTCACCATGAGGACAGTTGGGCAGTAGAAGACGTTC